CCTTGGGACCTCGACTGGGAATGGGAGATGGCAGCTTCGCCCTCGCAAAGGGGCTGGCTCCGAGGCCAGCACACAGGGCGGCGGCGCTGCGCCCACTTACTTTTTCCTTCTCCACGAACCCCACAAAGGCGGTCCTCTCGATCTCCACGGGCTGGCCCTGTCTGTCGTAGAGGGCCAGGACGAAGTGGAAGAAGTTGGATTTCCGCAGATTGGAAGGCGGCTGCTTCTCAAAGTGAGCCCGGGCCAGACCCACCCCGCTGCGGCCAAAGACGCACAGTTAGACGGCTAAGCCAGGCACCAACCCGCGTCCCCAGGCACCGCACGCACACGCACCCCCAAACGTCACCCTGTCTATCCCCATTCCGTGGGCACCCTCCTCTTCTCTTAGGCGCCCCGGCCCAGTTGGAGATGGGTGGCACGTATCCCCGCGTGTGCCAGCCTCCCCCGGGAGTGTAAGGCGCGCCCCCCAAACTCGCCAAAGAGGTGTGAAACTTTTGTTCGGGTTTGCTTCCCGAAAGACAGCGCCGCAGGCATTAACGCTGCCCCAAAGGGCGCTTTGTGGGGACTAGGCAAAGGGGCGTTCGATGAGGTGAACCCACATTCTCGGAAGCGAGCCTCTCTTTACAACTTAGAGAAAGGGGGGTGCATAGAGAATTGGTTCCCGCCACTCCCTGGAATCTCCCGTCTCAGCTCCAGGGACAGGTGGGAAGTGACGGAAAACCCGCGGGAGAACCTCCCTGTGTCCCTGTCCGCGGAGGGTGCCTGGGCCTCTGGTAGCCACATTGAGCCCCCACTCCAGATAAAGTTGGTGAAGAGGACTGGTCCAAAAGGGAAACTGGGCTGATTGGGGTGGTCTTCTTCGGAAAGGGGCGTTTCTGCAAGACACGTGCTGACAAAGTTTCGCGGTTCCGCAGAAATCCCCACACTCAGTCCAGAAATTCGAAGGACCGGCACTAGTGGCTGAAGGTGCCCTCGGAGGGCTGGAGGCTGGGGCGGCAGGGGCGCCAGGCAACCGCTGACAGCCCAACCTGTCCAGCACACACACGCATAGCGCGCGTGTACACACGTAAATAGTCCACACACGCACGTTCGCCTTAACCCATCCTTGTGCTCTAAGCACAGAGCCCTGGCGTTGGGGATACTTGTACCCAGCCCTGAAAGACCGGGAGGCCTTCATCTATCAGCTCCCTTCTTGCCCTTCCACACTCCCTGAGTCTGACAGGGCCGGTGGCCGCCAAGTCTCTCACTCCCCCAAGCCCAGCTGGTGGACTGGAAAAAAAAATCTCACCTGGGGCAAGGAGCCCCCGGAAAGAGCTGGGAGTGCCCAGGAAAGTTCCCCTAGGTCAACCTCCAAGGGCAGTGCCTTTAGGCCACACAGCCTCGCATCCAGGGAGCTCAGAGTGGGCGAGGGAGAGGGGCCAGAGGAAACCGTGGTGACCGGGCGCTAGGAAGACTTTTTTAGGAAATGTCAGAATGAAAGTTGGTCGCTACTGTTCTCTGGGTAGGCTGAGAGAAGCTGAGAGCTAGAGAGAAGGAAGGTGAGCCAGACAGGAGGAAATAAGAGAAGACACGAGGGAGAAATGGGGAGAGAAAAGAGGAGATGTGGGGGGGAAGAGGGGAGAGAGGAGATGGAAGCTGGACGATGAGGAAGAAAAGCAGAGGGCGAAGAAGAGGGGGAGGCAAGAGAAGACATAAAAAGACAGGAGGGAAGGGAGGTGGGCAGAAAGAAAAAAAGGAAGAAACGAACAGAGAAGGAAAAGAAAGAGAAGAGAAGGGAGGAAGGGAGGAGGAAGGGAAGGAAGAAGAACTAAAAAGGAAAGACGGACGGAAAAGAAAGAGCAATCACATCAAAACACAGATATTTAACATCATGCTGGCGAGACGCCTCTTCTGGGTAAAACAAAATGAAAACAGCCACAGACGAGGCAGAGAAAAGTGCAGGCGAAGCGTGGGCTCATCGCTGGCAGCTCCCGGATCTCCGGCCGCAGGCGACGATGGTAGCGCGGCCCGGAGCGCAGAGCC